TAGCTATTTATTAATTAATTAGTATTTGATAGTGTGCGTATAAGTGTTTATTATAATTTCTATGTCAAATGATATGATATAATAATAAACATATTTTTGGCCTAACGACTGATATCAATGATATTATTTTTCTTGGTTACACAAAACAACGCGATAGGATGCATGTAAACATAATAAAACTAAAACAAAATACTTCTTGCCCAAAAGGAATGTAGTGAAATACCTACAATTTATACAACCGGTTTATTCTACCACGCCCTTCCTTACATATAATAGCTGCTCAAGTTATACTAATTATACGCTAGCTTTAGCATTACTCATAGAGTTAGAAAAGTTGTTATTATTAAAAGCCTATTTAAGTATAAATTTAAACATTGGACAACATCCTATTAATATTATAAAGGCGAAAGTTTGTAAGTATGGATGTATGGATGTTTGTTACTCTTTCACGAAAAAACTACTGGACGGATTTGGATAAAACTTTACAGCAATATAGGTTATACATCAGAATAACACATAGGGTACTTTTTACTGGGAAAACTTCTCACTCCCACGGGATACCGACTTCCACGCGGACGAAGTCGCGGGCGTCCACTAGTTAATATTATAAAGGCGAAAGTTTGTAAGTATGGATGTATGGATGTTTGTTACTCTTTCACGAAAAAACTACTGGACGGATTTGGATAAAACTTTACAGCAATATAGGTTATACATCAGAATAACACATAGGGTACTTTTTACTGGGAAAACTTCTCACTCCCACGGGATACCGACTTCCACGCGGACGAAGTCGCGGGCGTCCACTAGTCAGATATATTGCTCAGTTAACAAGATGAGTAGCTAAAGCATTATGCAGTATCTGAGACATCGGAGGTACTGTAACGTCCGTACATTACTATAGGTAAGTTACTCTCCGTACGATTTATAGTCAATGCTGGCCGTTAATTTTTAGAATTATGAATTTTACCGCGTTAGAATCCGCGTTGTCTTGCTGATATATAATCTTTGTTTTTCAGATCGCCCCCACCATAGGAAGAGTAGCTTTAATATTATAATACCTATTTGTTTAATTGTAACACTATAAATAAAATTAATAACATTATATAAAAATAAATTTAATTCCACGAAAAAATCCATATCCCATAGGTGTGATAGAACCACAACACCCAGACCGAAGATAATATAGAAAAGTCCATTTTCTATATTGACCCAACAGGGGATCTCACCCAGTACCTCAGAGATGCCCATCCCTAACAAGGTTACAATGTTATAATAGAAAATCCATAAGGAAAGCCTGAGCCTCTGCAGTAGGGTCATAAAAGGATGACACTATTAAAACCTTTATAATTGCTGTATAAAGCTTTTAGCTACAAAGTGAATCACATATTTATAAATTTACCCTATAAAAACCATATAATTGGAACAGGATATGGTTAATTTCAAAGGTAAATTCGTATTTATTTTTTATTGAGAGTATTTTATAAATTCAACATTTGACTGTGACAATTTGAATATGTAATACAGTTTTCTCTAATCTTATTAAGCTTATTTGGATGTCATTTCTTTGATGTACACGTGGCCTTAGTCTTCACAATCGCACCAACCACTGTGCCCGCGACTAGGTGCATGTAAATTGCACCCATGCGAAGAAAACGCGCTAAAATAAAACCAAGTTCATTCGAGGTTTACTTTAATCGTAATCTTACTTCCTCGCATATATATTTCAATGTAACACAGATATATATACAAAACATGTGAACTGTGTACTAACGACGTCACCTGTTTTTAAGGTTTTTCACTTCTTTCGCCTTGGCATTGTAGTGTGAAACACAAACTCGTTTCCGAAACGATCGACTCACATCGGCCTCGCTGATTTTTACAGGCGTTTACGGAAGAGTCGTTTTCCAAGTTTTATGATATTATTATTAAATTAATCTGCCACAGTCATGCTGTAATTTAATATTTGTTTTGTAAATAACACCTTATCGAGCAAAAATGAAATAACGGCCGGCCTTCACTTGATTGCAAATGGCTATTTTGAATATTTATGTTAATTCTATTCCTTTCGCAGTTTTTTTTTAAATATTTTAAAAACTTTATTTAACGCAAATAGTTAAAAACAAATTAGCGACCTGTACATCAGTAAAAAAAGGCAAAATAAACCAAAATATCTGTCAAGATCAAAGTCTCTTCGGATGTTTACTATTTTTATTATCTCATATTTTATGTGATTTTCAAGACTTGATTGTCTATAACTATAAATAAACACTCAAAATTATGCATCGTATAAATAAGCACTCAAAATTTATAAATAAGCACTATTTTTATTATCTCATATTTTATGTAATTTTCAAGACTTGATTGTCTAATATAAATGTATATGGTATAATAACATGGCAATGTAAGCACAACGTCTGCATACGTAGATAAAGTTATGTGCGCGGAAGCGTCTAATCAAACTGAGCTTGGTCGCGGGCGCACTACAGGAAGTGGTAAAAACACGGAAAGCCGTCGTCGGACAGCGTTCGACGTTAGAGTCGGCATGCTATACGTCGATTGATAGAGCACTCACAACGAGAAATATCGACATATTTCATTTTATAGCTACATTATATTGTAGATTAGATTGTTGATAACATTAAAAATTCTACATAAATGGATCAAAAGATAACGTGGGACAAACAACGGTTTTTTTATGGGATTGCAAAAAAGAAATTATGAGACTTAATTGCCCTGTCAATTTTGTTTGTTGTTTATTGTGATCTGAATCTAAAATATAATTAGTATGTAAAGAAAAATATGGCCTAAATTTCCAAAATATATCTGAATACATCTGGTAATATAGTTAATTAGGTATCTCTAATTAGGTGATTTACTTGTAAGCTTTACTACGCTTAACTTTAATTTGGTCGTTGTTACGCGTCAATTGTTTTCATGAAACAATATGATTAATACATCATAGGAACGTGTTACGTAACAAGACGATACTAACTAAAGTCGTGCAACAAACCAAAAATCGTGAGTCCCCGATGAAGGAGGACTTGCCACAGAACGCATACCGTAAGTTGAAAGCCTTGAAATAACAATAATATACTAAAGGGCTCTTCGGATAATATAATAAAATATCTCATAGTGTCGCAGACTATTATAACATTAAAGTATCGAAAGTGGTTTCAAACTTCTATTCTATTTAAGTATGGTATGATGGGGTTGGCATGTTCTAAAGAATAAAAACGCCTTAAAAATTAAAAGAATAAAAAAAAAACTTCTATTCTTATAAAATTATTGTGATTGTTTTGAATATTTGTTTTATGCATCAAATAGGCTTCGAAACTACTACACAGATTTTAAAAATTCCTTTACCCACGGGATTATCATATCATACACGGATCACATAGGCTATTATTTACGCTGACGAAGTCTCAGGAAAACAGCTAGTCTATAATAATTTCATTTAAGTAGGTTTACACAGAAAACGGAGTATTTAAATTAGAACTGTTCTGTAAAAAATAATTGGTCATAATCTCTACTATGAGTGGAATTAAAAAATATATTTATTTTACTATATACTCCATTTTACTTTTTCATAAATAAAATAGGTAGGTGTTTTGTTCTCCAAAAATATATCTCCAACACCACAGCAGATTATTATAGTATAAAAAATCACATTATTAATAAATTAAATAAATTCAATTAAAATGTTTAGGGTTTAATGCTCTAACTACAGTAAAAAATCGTCTCGTTATTTGAATCTCTAAGACGCATACCGTATTCTATGAAAACTATGAAACGACAGGTCAATGGACTTTTCCACACGTGTAAGAAACATTTACTTCTAATATTTAAAAAAAAGTAATATAAAAATAATTAAATATGAGACTGTCATGATGTTACGTCTTTGTATTTTCCTATTTAAATAGCGATAAGTCTTTAAGGAAAAATATTACTTGCATTGCGTGTTATTGGTTCATTTAGCGTTGCGCACGCGCATAATTTAAAAACGGTTCGATTCGTACAAAAACTAGCGCAATTATTACGAGATGTGAGTGAACCTTCGCTTCTTTGGTGCAATAAAAAGATTAGATACGCTAACTTTTATGAGCAACTCACGAAATGTAATATATTAATTTATTTACGTTCATAATATATGATAATTTATTTATTCATTTGTAAGAGCGATGTGACGTATATCTGTTTAATTACGCAGTCATATCATTGTTTACTACTAAACCCAAAATTTAATTAGAGCTTTTGGCTACCAAATGTAATAGCAAACAAAACTCCACATAATATAATTATAACGTACCTATGGTGGGTAAAGCGATAAGTGCAGATAACGATTATAAATGGAAGCTTGTGGATAGAGCAAAAAAATACAGCCAAATTTCATTCCAAACGTTAGTAGAATAAGGTGTTTTTTGCTATCCCCGGCGTAGTTTAGTACATACACTATACTATATTGGCCTCGTAGATAATGAACATGATATTATTTCGTTGTGGGTACTTAATTTATTCCACGTTGTGTGAGATAAAAAAAACGGTATTAACGTAATCATAACTTACACTACTGAACTACTTAAGTTATTAATTGAAATGGCTATCAAATTAAATAAAGTTATTTAATCGAGAAACTTGTCAATATAAAGATAAACTTAATATTTCTTATTTATAATTTTTAAATCATTTGATATCCATGATTATGCACACAACATGCATTCGTTGGAATATGAATAAGTTGAGACGATAAGAAAACCGTCGGCAAAACAAATATTTATTCAGTGTCTACGTTCAATTATTCAAATAAAGGCGCCTAATCGTTTTATAAAGAGGGGAACATCAACATTATTCCGCTAATAAATTCGTACACAATTGCAGCAAGTGAGAACAAAGCTTAAAGCTGCATTAAACGAAGGTCGTTAACCTATCTACGTCAAACATCAAAATGTGCTATTCACGCTACAAAACCTATTTATGGTGTCACGAAGGGTATCACCGCTTACTTTGTCTTTGGAAGCCAGACGTTTTGGGTCGAGAAGCTTCTGGTACTGTCGTAGCGCCCGCATGTAAAGCCGTACAGGTAGGTCAACGGGCATGGACACAGGGTCCGGGTTCCTGGACGCCACGCCCGCGTTCATCGTTGCCTCACTCACTCACAAACACAGGACGAACAAACCACCACACATGCGCAGAGCCAACAGCGCGTCCGAAGTGAACGTCGGTCCCTCGTAACACTGACGTAGTAAAGCGGTCTGCGGTCGACCGCGCATGCGAACATGCCGTGAGTGCAAAAAGAAACTTATCCACGCTCCGCTGACTTTCCCTGAACGGCGTCTTTTGAACGACCCGCTTTTACCGTATGTAGTACGGCCGTGTCCTTGTTTGCGGTAATTACACACCTTAAGAAAGTTTACTCTTCTCCAAAAATACTTAGGCCTTCAATGACTTGTAGCGTAATTAACTACTTAAGCGGAAGCTTAACATATTAAAGTAATTATTTTTTAAACTTTGCAAATTGCCAAATGAAGTTAGTAAACTTTAAAGTGGATTTATTAAATTTTGTAGTTCAAATTTCTATATAAGATCATATTAAACAACTTTGTGTGATGATGATGATGAAATTCGACACAGTACGCAATCTAAAATATCCTAAATACTGTTTGAATCTATTCAGACGTTATCAAAAGGTAACAAGTATATAATAAATCTCCACTTTAGATCATCAAAATAAGAAAAGCAACAGAAAATATTTGTCTTCACATAAATATTGATATATTATTTATTAACATGGACCGCCAGTCAGAATATTTATATGATTATTATTATTATAAAACAAAACCTTAAAAGACAATACAAGTGGTCACACACTAAAAGTAGAATAGGCTATAAAAAACTATGTCTCATGCAAAAAGTGACGCAGTTCTTTTCATACAGATTACTCAGCATCCGATCAGTCAACAGTCAACATTATTAATCATAAATGAGACTTAAGCTGCATCCGGTAACAACGATGTTTAAAAAATTTGTATGCGAATAGTTTTCACATAAAAACTATTTCTAAACCTATTTGCGGAAAAAGAAATTCCACACGGCCGAATATGGAGGACAACAGAGCTATATTGTTTTAAACAAAAGACCTTGATTAAAGCTATGCGCTTTATTATACATAACTGACTTATGTTTTTTTTTAATTTGTATTCTTTACGAATGCAAGGGAGACGGTTCCACGAAAGATGTGACGTCATTCCGTATTTAAGGTTTTATTTCTTTTACGGAAATATGGCTAAAATGTGAACAAGAGGATGGCTGCATCGCATGATCGCCTATCAAATTTTTAAAGGAAATTTTACTAAATTCATCACTTTTGTTGTATTTTACTATCATATAAAAATATTTCTTCATCGAATTTGACATAACTTGACAAACATTTTGTTAAAAAAATAAAAATTTTAGTGGTTTGCTCGATAAAATCTGTATAGTTTTTTAAACAATTTAATAAGAGGAATATATCTCCACGAATGTTGATCGATATACAAAATCTTTTTTTTATTAGATATAGGCCCAATGTGATTATTTTTTTGTAAATCGAATCATTCCCTATGTTTTATATCAAAATAACCAATAGCGATAGGCAGTTTGACCAACGGTGCATGAACGAGCGATATGATTACTGAAAACATACTTATCGCCATATTGTATGCGACAAATTGATAATGCAAAATGTTTATTTTCAAGTAGGTATATGTACAAAACTATCGAGTTATCTTCACCAGTGAGTTAATCTTTAAAAATAAAAATGAATCGCAAAATATGCTACTAGATAGATAGATAGATAAATGCTTTATTGAACCACTACTATCACTACATTATAAGTTGTTGTAAAATACTTAGTTAGATTTATATCACCGAACTAGAGTGTGAAGCAGTAGCTCAAGAGGTATACAGCTCAGTGTTGGATGTTCCATATATGAAACAGACACTGATTTTCAGCTGTACCCTAGTCGCCGTTAGCAGTCAATTCAAGAACAACGAAAATAATTAAGCAATTTTTTTAAGTATTCAATGTAGAAATTTGAGACAGACATCTGTTAACACGATAGAAAGTATTGAAACAATGAATAGATGGATTATTTTTAGACAGAATTATGTTTTATCTACACTCAAATCGAAAAATTCGAATTATGAATCCATAGACGACTATACATACGCACTTTATAAATGCATATACATAAAATTAAAAATAAAACTCATTATAGTTCTACCAACTGTACGATAAAACTCATTATAGTACCGCTATCTTTTTTTATTCATTAAACTAGTCTATGGTTTTAGGCTGAATATGAAAAAAGCGCCATTTTTTTGCGCCACTCATGCGTAGTTTGAACTTAATTTCCCGCGCTTCCCAAACATTTTTTTGCCGATCGTGTTTTTGTATTCGGGATTCCAAAAAATTACTTTCTTGTAACCTATCCAATTTGTTTAATATCAATTTTTCTTATGAGTGAAGACAGAGTAGTGTATGAAACTGCATATAACTTAGGTATTAAAACACTGGAATCAACCTATTATCGCATCTATATCGCGATAAACAGACTCTCATGTTTTAATACCCCTTCTTATATGACAGTTGCATAAACTACTATTTTAATCATAAAATGAAAACCAAAATTTTTATTTAACTTTATAGGGATGATGCATGACTAAAAGAAAAACTATTAAGTCCGTCAGAGATAATAGAAAAAAAAAATTGATACGTATTTCATTTGCTTCTATTTATATAATTAACATTTACTTTATTTATACATTTACTTTATTAACAACTTCTATTTATATATTAACAAGTAATAGCTTATATAAAATAGGATTAGGGATTGACGAGTAGGGATTTGATACGCTACGTCACAACTAGTTTATTAGAGAAACTCTACCTAACGGAGAGAAGAAAATAGTTTGATAGTAGTAGTAGTTTTGATATAAATATAAGTTTTGATAAAATATATAATCTCTTAGTTATTAATCTGTTAACATCCGATATATCTACTAACAATCCAATCCAATTTTACATTATAACTGTGAAACAATTTGCGCGTTAAGAAAACGACGACAAAAACGCCTTTGTCAATCTTAATCTGGCTTACTCAGTATCATTATTCAGCGATTTACCTCAAGTCTCTATCATACCTAAAGTGAGTTTGATTTTTATACCTATGACGTCAGCATTAGCTTACTAATAAACATAATTATTATTATTATAAAACATGATATGGAGACTCAAATCATACGGAGGGTCATGGAAGAGACTGAATTGCTGATCATTTCTCTAGAGCCCTTCGAGATTCGAGAGGGTATGATTTTTGCACAGTTAAATGTATATGCAGAGATGGAGATTGTTAATATGTATTTATTATATTCAGAAAGAGAGAGTAGAATGGTGGCATAGTGAATAAGCGCCGCGATCATTGTTGTTAAGCAACATTTGCAAGGTTCAGTCACGGGATGGGTGGCCAATAAAATATTATCTCGAGCTACTTCGAGCTTCGGAAGGCACGTTCAGCCGTTGGTCCTGGCTGCATTTGCAGTCGTTAATACCCTCCAATCCACAATTGGGACCAGCGTGGAGGGTCATGGCCCAAGCTCCTTAACCATAAGGAAGGCCTGAGCTTCTGCAGTGTGTATGTAAAAAAGCTGACAATATCAATCTATATTTCAGTTTCTGAGCTCCTGTCATATCCGTAAACTTCGCTCTTCTAGCAGCCTCTGTCTACAGAACTCTTGTCCATTCTTCTGGTTTCGTTTCATAAGTACTCATTCATTCGTACTGCCACACGACTCTGGAATGCCGTATCTCTTAACATTAAGAAAGCTCCAAATAAAGTTGTATTAAGACAATCTTACAAATAAGCTATTGTATCTGATTTATATATGCATCCATGTATTGTATATTTTTTATAGTATGTATGTGTGTATAGTTATGTAAAAATATTATTTTATCAAGGCATTATTTATCTTCGTTGCGCCCGTAGGCCACCATTTGCTGTATTGCGATAAATCTTAAATAAATAAATTATAAATGCAGATTAAGCTCCCAAAAATAGCTCATTTCATAAAACTTCCACTAATTTTACATTCACAATGCTTTACTAAAAAAATTTGAAATTTCGATAGAAAACATTCAGTGATTTTCGAATTCGTTATGATTGACGCAACAAGCGTCAGATTACAATGTCTGACGTGGCGTATGGGTTTTTTTTTTTAATAGGCAGTGATGGATTTATAAATTGCATTTTTTATTACAAGTTAATCAACGACGTCATTACTGCGATGTACTGTGGATGTAAATTAGCATTTACATTCACAGTACATCGTAGAAACATCCAGTGGCGTGACACGAGCCCCCCGGCTCTAGAAACTGTCTCCGAATCATCTAACATTTTGAAGTAAATTAAGTAAAAAATATATTTTTTATTTTTTACTAAATTTACTTAAACTAATCAATTAAAGTTAAACACAGCCAAAGTCCATAGATAAATGCAAATAAATAATTAATATTGAATCGCATAACACTATCTAGTGCTGAAGATCATTTTCTAAACTGACATTAATTAAAACTTACTTATTCAAGTAACTCAATGGGAGAAAACAAAATGGTCAAAATATTTTTGTTACTGTTGGGTAACTTTCTCGATGATTAATTAAAATTAAATTACAAATGTGGGGCCCCATCCAGTGAATTTGTCACGAGCCTTAGTTGGTATAGTTGTACCAGTAATGGCTTTATTATTGACTAGTGGACGCCCGCGACTTCGTCCGCGTGGAAGTCGGTATCCCGTGGGAGTGAGAAGTTTTCCCAGTAAAAAGTACCCTATGTGTTATTCTGATGTATAACCTATATTGCTGTAAAGTTTTATCCAAATCCGTCCAGTAGTTTTTTCGTGAAAGAGTAACAAACATCCATACATCCATACTTACAAACTTTCGCCTTTATAATATTAATAGGATAGGATTGTTCGGTGCTTTTGAATTTATTGCGTTGAGTCACAGAGCTACTCGGCGTGGAGGACTCCATTTTAAAATAGGGAATGATTCTTGACGACATCTTGCCAGTCTTAGCTAAGTGTTTATAAATTTATTGACCTATTTTTCTTTTACCTTTGTCGCTTTTATTGTTATTTATTGCTTTATATCTTTTTTTTTTGGCTCTAGTGCCGAGGGGCTACTGTTAAGTCACTGGAAGTT